GAGGGAGAGGGAGAGGGAGAGGGAGAGGGAGAGGGAGAGGGAGAGGGAGAGGGCAATTACCGGTCAGCGGTACATTGTTTTAAGTCACGCGTGGCTTGGTCAGCCATATCTTGGACTTGTTTTGCATTGCTTATATTCGTCGTGGCAATAAAGCTATTTTTGTTCATTTAGTTCGTGTCTCGGCATTGGTATTCTTTACAATTCGCGTGGTGGCAGCAGTCGGTTTACCCAACCTGCAAACGGTGGGCAGTGACAACACTTTCTAACCTTACTATTGGTATTGATAGCATCATCTTCGAACAGGGTAYCGAGGCAGTGGTGCCTTGTAAAGGTTGAAAACCGGCATCAATAACTTTGAGAATTGGAAGTAGAATTCACGACCCCAAGAAGGATGAAAAAGTCGATCTAGTCAAGCTAGTCACGCCAGTCCCAATACATAGATATATTCCACGGTAACCACGTTATCCAAGTTACCATCGACAGCGGTGCAACTGGTAATTTAATACTTCATTCTATCGTCAAACCGCTTCGGATCATTGATTATTGATTGATTATTGATTGATTAATTATTGATTAATTATTGATTAATTATTGATTAATTATTGATTAATTATTGATTAAGTACCCAGTCTGTACACCAAACGATGGAGAGACGCGGTTTATCTTCACTAAAGACAACAGAGATTTCAAGTTTCATGGAGTAATTGGTGAAAACCTTGACATAGATGTACTTGGTACTCTGCGCTCTGCGAAGCGAGAATTGATCCTCGATGATGACACACTATGCAAATATGGTGGTGCTGAGTATGCCATTGAATTACTCCACACAAATGTGGCAAGCGTCGAAGAGAAGCCTGATCAGGCAGATGTAGCTCCAAACATGTGTAATATCGAACGCCGTAGCACAAAAAATTAACGCATGGCTAATTGTCAACTGAACCACGCAGACCAGCCCCGTCTGAAATTCCTACACCAAAGCCACTAGCATCTCCTTCAACCACAACCAATCGTTCTGCTGCTGTAACGGTTGACCCAAAAATCCTTTCCCTCAAGAGATAAAGGTCGAATTCCACTCTCTACTCAGAGAATATGACAGCGCTCTTGACCCAAATTTCATAGAATACAATAGTGCAGCAGGACCTTTAAGACCAAGATAAACATGGGCCCGGTTGAGCCCCCCTCCCCCTACGAGAAGGTCGTCTCCCCCACTAACCGAGGAAAGCTCATGGAACTCCAGAAAAGTTTAATCAACTAGAAGAACTTGGTATATTCCAACGTCCTGAAGAAGACGTGCGTCGGCTCCACGTTACGCCACATCGTAGCCCACTTCCGAGATATKKTACGCTTGTCACGCACAAAGGTTTCAGTATGAGGCTACGTGCTAAATGCCTCAGTCATTCGTGACAGGCGGTAAGATATAATTATTTTAGCCTCATACTGAAACATTTGTGCGTGACAAGCCCCCCCTTCAGCAGTATCCGACTAGTTTGTCAATATCAGAACTAAGGGTGCTGTAAGGGAACCTGGTATTGGTGCAACTTGTACGTGACACGTGCAGACAATCTATACCTGTATGGTTTCACAATGAACGTGGCTACCTTGTGACCGGGTAGAAACCCAATCCTTTACCGCTGCCACTTAAGCACCTTACAGACTATGTTACAGACTAGCTTTTAATTGTATTACAAAAATGAAAATGAACAATTAGGTAAWTCAAACCCACAGTAGCATTGACCACCGCGTATCTGTTTATTAATAATGTCAGTTGTTCTGACCTTTGTAGTTACGTGGGTTTTATTATAGTTAAGAAAGGAAGAGTTGCAGTACCGGCCGAAAAGCGGTCAGCCATCTGGGACCCGTTTCGTATTGCTCGTGGCAATAAAGCTATTTGTTGTGCATTTACTTGATGCATTTTGGCTCGTTGTTATTCTCCACAATTGGCGCTGGAAAAAAATTTAGTTGAAAGATTGGGATATACTCTGATGACTCGTTCCGCACGAGCTGAGACAGGAAATGATGTCAAGTYTTTACCCTCTACCATTGTTTTGCAATTGGTCTCGGCTCTTATGCATAAAAAAACGAGTTTGTTTCTAGTAAATAAAAAAAAAAAAGAATAAATAAATGAAATAAAAGACTGGGATTTTGTTTGCCAACGTTTGTGTATTCAATGAAATATTCCCAGAATCCTTTCCAAGTGGTGCCCAAGAGCCCGCATAACGTACAGTCAGCGGTAACCCCGTCTAGTCCAAAGCCTTGTCTTCACTCAACACAACAGTTTGTAGAACACAAGATGTATTGATGAAGAAAAACTACGAAATCTCCATTCCTGGATGTCTGATCGCCGTGTGCTTGTTCAGTAATAATCTCTACTTATCCTGCGATCGTTTGATGCCTGGAGGCAGGAAATTTAGTAGTCTTAAGGCCAGTACAATCTCCGGAGTCCGAGGAACTCAAAACCCTACTAAAAGTTGCCGGTGACTATAAACATTTACAATATATCCTTTTTATTCGTGAATAGTTTTACTCTGKTGCGATTTTTTTAGCTTTCTTATATTTTTATGTGCTGTACGTTCTTYCTCTTTCGGTACTGTGAGTTAACAAAGCCTGTGGTTCGAGATTTCCATGGTTTTACAGTCCGTTTTGTGGTTGATGATATTTTTAGYACAGTGAACACCTGTGTTGTGTTGTGTTAATTTAAAGGCTGTTTAGCCTATAGCCATCTAACGCTTGTCTCCAGCCGCTCGCTTCTTATATTTTGTTACCTTTTCTTTGWCATCAACAGAAACGGATCTTCCAGTACCGGTGGACACCACACAATCTCTTCTCTCTTAACCGTTCCTCCCGTTTTCCACTTTCAACCACCCAAAGTTCCAGTTTTCACGATGATGGGATTTGAAGTACTGTTTTTTTCTTACTTACTATCGGCACTAGTTCTTCAGTACATCAATATATACAAGCTGGTAAGACAGTTTTTATTTGTACACGAATCATTAGTAGCTCCTAAACCCTTACTTTCACATCCAACAAAGATYCTTTCTATTATATATATATTTATAGATTAATGTTTTTTATATCAATTTCATAATTAAAATTCATATAAGCTTTATTTACCTGTATATATATTTTCATAATGTATAATTTATCTTATAWCTTCTTAATGAATGAATATAGTTTTTTTAAAGACTCTAATATTCGACAAAAATTTTCTAAMATATTTTATAATTTCCATATCTGAACATTTTTTGTTGCTAATTACTATTTATCAGTCAATATAAGTACATAGTATTAATTTTGTGCAATATCTGTGACCTAATTTACATGTTGACAGTGTATTTATGTTTCAGCAGGCATTGAAATGCTAACTAAAAACAAATATTTTAAATGAAAGGAAAACCTAGGATACTTATCATTGACATTACTATTAACATTCAGAACAGAAAAAAATATTTTATTAGCTTGCAAGTAATAGATATGTCTATGGTTCATAATTCAAGAGTAATTTTAATATGTAGATTTTTGAAAGTATAAAGGCATATGCTTCAGAAAAAAAAAAGATATTTCTCAAAACCTCCAAATTTAAATTTAAGCCTTCAAAAATTGAAACCCTTTCAAATAAGCCCTCCCAAATACAATAGAACACTCTTATAAACTATCTAGCTAGCAAATTAACCAAAGTTATATAGCATTTTAACTTTTTTCTATTTTTTATTTAATTATAAGTTTTGGTTAGAGTGCAAACAATTAATCCGTGAAACACTTATTACTAAATATTACAAAATAGTGCTAATTAAACAATAGAAAACATTAGAATTTGCATGATATTGTGCTATTTAGTATTACTAAAGTTTCACGGTTATATTGTTTGCACTCTATCAATAATATTATGTTAAGTTTAATACAGGTAACAATAAATATGGTATGTTGAGATGCAAAATGCCATTTGAAAGTAGCCCCAACTATTGATTTTATAATACACTGCATTATTTATGAGACTGGTGTATCTAATCTGTTTTACACAGTGTTGAGCACTGTTATTTTATAACCAATTATAAAAATAAATGTTCAGTAATTGTTCAATCTACCTACTATATGCTGCATTAGATGAAACATTAATCTTTTGTTGTAAGAGAGTTCTTTTCAGGATGATGAATGTGAGATGCTATACTTTGTCTTTAGATAGCTGATAGTATGTTTGTAATAATACCAGAACATATAAACAAACTCTGGGCTGATCAAAGTTTATATGACGGTGACTGATGTGATTCACAGTTCAATTAAGGCTATATTACAACTGATCAACAGACAATTTATGTCCAGAATAGAAACTTGTCTGCTCAAATCTTTACCTTGTTGATTATTTTGAACAGTATTAACTTTGATACTTTGAGAAACAAGGTATGACTGATATATTTAGTCATCATGACCTGCGTCGACTGACCAGCTGTTATTTTTAGCCCTGCTGCTATATTTCTGAATGTTTTTATTCAATGATAACACTATGAATATGAACTTGGCTTCAAATTATTTGGCATTCCATGTTGTTGATATGTTGTTGTTTTTTTGGTTTAGAATTTCCATGTGGTAGATCCATACCTGGT